TTGTGTTTTTTGGTAACTGTCTTTAATTTAAAACTTAAAAACTGTTTTTTCTTTTATAAATGTTTTTGCTTTAAAAATGTTTTTTAAAAATTTACGTTTTTAAATATACTTTCACTTATTCAAAAAAGGGAAAATGTGCATTGTAATACACACGAAAAAACCCGATAAACAAACAAATATTTGAGTATTGTAATTGTATATTGCTTTCCGATTTTAAGTCTCATTTATTAGCAATTCACAATTGGAGTTAAAATATAAAAAAGACATAATTATCGTCAAGTAGTATCACATAAAAACAATGTCTCATTATAAAAAACTGGAGAATAGTCGCTTTGAAAATCTACGTTCGACTCGTCGTTGTTTTTTCAATTTCTAACACATATACGCCATCGGCTAAATCTTTTTCTTTTGAAAAGTCGCTATAAAAATGCAAAATTTGTCATGATAACGTAAAAAATATCTCTCACAAAGAACGCTTTTTTGCGAACACATACAAGTACAAAAAAAGAGTTAAACAAATTGTGTTTGTTTCATCCTCCTTTTCTCTTTGAATTCTTGAATCGACTTCTGCTGTAATTTGTGTGATGAATTCGCCGTCCAATTTCACCGCGACCCTCAAAAATACATCGCAACATAGTTTTTTTACATCCTCGTTCTGCGAGTCCACTAAGGGCAAAAATATTTCCAAGCAAAGCAATAACGCTTTTTCCCACTGTCAAAAATATAATTTTTTAATCAGTTCCTTATTATTAGTTTGATTTTTAGTTTGAAAACTAATGGATACCATTTTAATTATTTAACAAATGAAAAAGTTCAACAAAGCACGTGTTATAAATACTCAACAACACCATATCATGCTATCCATACATGGGTGGAATGTTGATTTTTAACTCAAGTTTACATGGTTTTAAAACTTGATATTTTTCATTGACTGTTCTAACTACAAATTATAATGTAATTGACTGATTTTGGTGAAACACATTGAGTTTAATAAGTGGTGTTAACAAGTCTGTTTAATGATTTGGAAAATAAAATAAAACAATAACGGTTTAATAAGACGTTATGAATCAACGACAAATCATTTAAATGCGTAAAAGCTTTGTTTTTATTTTCAATTTTTTTGCACTTAGTAAATAATTGATTATTTTTATGATGATTTAATAATATAGTTTGTTTTACTATATTTATAATATTAAAAAATAAGTATTCAATTCCCGAAATATTAAATGAGTATTTGAATTCATTTAAATAAAAAGTGTTTTTCAAGTGTTAATTGTGAATTTGATTGGTTAAAAAAGTAGGCAACACATCTTCTCGAATATGAGATCAAACATGTTTAAGGATCTTGGTAATATTTTGCCAAAATCAAGCAACTTTATTTTTTATATAAATTTACAAACCAAACTAGAAAAAAAAACAGAACTAAAAAGTACAAGACATAACCCAAATTTTTTAACAATTTTTTTAATTTAATCAAAAACATTTGAACCCGAACAATTTTTATTTTTAAAATAACAAATTGTATTTATTTAAATAAAACGTAGTTAAAATATCAACATTTTTAATAATTACATTTTTATTTACATTTTACTCGTTTTTAATAAACACCTTTTTATAAGTGGCGTATTGAATTGTAATTAACCATTATACAATTAACATGGTTTAAACAATGATAACCAATTGTATATTATAAGTTACAACCATTTAAAATCAAATGTTGGCATATTAAATATTGTATTTATTCAAATCATTAATGTTTGAAAAATCCATTTCTAATGTTATCAATTTGTTTTTGTTTGTA